CATGAGAAGTGTTCCACGAAAGAGCTATGGTTTGCAGACAGTTATAAGAGTTGATGTTACAAATACGTCTTTTGAATATACTGTGTGAACTCATTGCCCCGTTAGCTCGGAGAGCTGTATTTTCCCTCCTCAATAAGTTTTGTCAGTTGTTTTGTTTATTGGTCTAATTCTTGTTTCTTGGGTTGCATTGGTTAGTCACTCAATTAATTCTCTTGTGCTTCGTTCCTCACTTCTGAATTATGTTGTATTGATAAGGAGTTATCACAAAGTAAGTCTGTTTAGTTGTGCTATCTTACAATCAATATATAATAAATGTAGGTTAAAGTGTTGCCGATGTAACCGGTTAAAACTTGGACTGGCGATGAGGTCTTAAAATGTATGGAAAGAGTCTTAAAAAAGATCTTAAAAGGTATTAAATTTAACTCCATGATTCCTGTATATACCCTGTATTTGGAAGACCGTTAAAAGTGGGAGAAATGTGATTCATCTGGAATAACAATATTCAGTTATAGAATATTACTCTTCAGTTTTATTGCATATTCTTTCTCTTGAACTCATAATGCAAATAAATACTTTTTGTATTTCCCATGTACTGTAACAGTCCAGTATCTCTCTTGTTTTGATTTCACTGGATAAAAGCCATGCAGAATTATGTACACTCTTTATGATTTTTGCTCATATGTATACTGTTTTTACGCCCTTCATTTTATTAGACTATATATATATATAGATGGGTGTGTTTTGAAGAATTGGTTATTTCAAAGTGGTTATTTTAAAAAAAAGGCTTTCATTGAGGGTTATACACAGGTGTTTATTCCTAATATATTGAGGTGAACATTTTATTGGCTGAATGCATGCACCATATAAGAAAGTTAGTGTGGTGATTAATCTTTTTTTTTAATATGATTTATGATAATGTTTGTGAATTTTTAAAAATAATTTAGGTTTATGATGGAATAACAGCTGAAGTGCAGTTCATTAATCGAAAGTTGCACAGAAAAGTGAAATAACATAAAGCTGATGCACACTGGGGAATTTTCTGGCAGATATTGATAATATGGTCTGTGCCATGACAACATATGTTCACAGAAGATAGCTAGATGATAAAAACTTTGCCAAACCACCACCCTTTCACAGCCACAAAGGTTTATGACGAGAGCTTGGTGTTTGAAAAAAAGTGTAATGTTTTAACTAAATTTCCTTCCAAGAAACCAAGAGTCATGAAAAATTTTTATTCATAAAAAATTGGCAAGAACCAAGCAAAACATTTTCCTGTTATCAGAGATATTTTGAGTTTGAAGAGCCTATAAAGTGATCTGTGTAAAATGCTGAACTCAAGTGAATTGATGGAACGAGTTTATATAATTCATGGAAGCAATAGAACATTCTCATTTTATTGCCTTTCCTTCTCTTATAATTAAAATACATTGTGAATTTTCTGATATTACAACATTTTAAGTGAAGATAAAAAATAAACTAAATTCTTCATTATTAAAAGGTAACTTCAAAATGGCCAACAAGCAAAATAAAAAAAGCATGATTGCATGTTTATTCTAGTCAGTGTTACTTAGAATAGTGTTAATTTTTATTGGCCTCTTTAGTCATCTTTTTTGGGGTCTGGATTATCCCTCCAAATGCAGTAGTTGAGGCTGGTAGCGAGGCAGAGCCAGGCCAAGTATGGTACCATGAGAAGAGTTGCAGTGCGGCTGATGGGATACCAAGACACCATTGTGGCTGCCACTGTGCCAGTCAGCATCACTATCTCTATCATTGCCTAGATATGAAAGAAGAATAGAACATCACTATAGTTAATCATACAAGACATTATATAAACACTGACTTCCGTTGCATTGACAAAAAATACAATAGAAGTCAATGGGAACCATTTGTTTACTAACATTCTTCAAAATACCTTCTTTTGTGTTCAGCAGAAGAAAGAAATGCATATAGGCTTGGAATGACAGAGTGAATAAATGAGTTTTTAAGTCTTCACAAAAATCTCTGATACTATCTCACAACAACTATATGCAGACAAACTGGTTCCTGGTTTACTTTTTAAGCAGTTTCTCTGTATTTTAACTGAAACAACAGTAGGATTTTTGAAACTCAGAATAATATCTAACCAGTTTAATGTTGTGAGTGCCAAAGAAGATGGGGGTCCAGGCCCAATTAAGCGCTAACTGCATCCCATAAAGCCCCAGTGGTAACAATGCATCCTGGGTGAAGCCTCCAAGCTCTTTCCACACAAGGTATGAACCGTAGCTTTAAAAAAAAATAGAAAATCATTTACACCATCCGGAATTACCTTTAGTTACTCATTAACTTTTGACTACACCTTCATTCAAAGTTACTAAATGCATAACTGCTAGATATAATAAGTGGCCAATGTTTGAACAAACCCCATGCCAGTGTAGAGAGTGGTCCACGCCACTGGGAAGGCAGCATTAGGTGGCCTCCATGAGGGTTTATTGAGCGTGGTGTACCAGGTCTTCACCTCCTTCCGTGTAATTAAACCTCCAAATATTCCACCAACGTGTGGCAGAGCAGTCAAACTCAGCATAGGAATCCACATCCTTTCAATGCAAACTGGCAAAATAAGGTTTCTTAGCATTTGACTGTACATTACGTAACACATTTGTTTTTGTGTAATTGCTCTGCACCCTCCTTGTCTGTATAACTTATTCCAAGTCTGAAAGTTTATCTCCACAGAATGTGAGACCTTTAGGGCTCAATTGCAGTAAAATAATTAGGACATTAGAATTCAAGAATTAGAACATAATTAAGCCTTCTCTCGCAATTAATGCAATCCTACAAAAAGCTCACATATGAATATAAAAATATCAGCACAAAAACAAGTAAATAAGTAAAATATTAAAATATGACAATATTATGCTATAGCTGTTGGGTAAACTACTGAACAGAACAAAACTAACATACTAAAAAATAAACTGTTTTCTAAATACTTTTGGTTCATAGCCAGTTCAGTTTTCCTTCTCTATCTGGGATCGACTTCACGCACTGTACGACTCGTAAAATAGTTTTTAAAGACGAAGATGACGATGTGAAGAACGCCGTATAGATCCAATATAGACTTTTTTTCGTGCAAAGAATGTTAAACAGCATGACGGGTTTGCAGAATCTTATTCACGCGATCAGCAGAACATTATTTAACGCGCGATACTGATTGTGGAATTTAGTTCCTAAATTCATACGACGGACTAATAAGAGACATAGCCAAGCAAATTGCCTCTTGTAGGCTACTAAATAACAACGCTGCCGACTTTACCTGAATTGACAGGTCGAAGCGCTGTTCGATGCTATTTGAAGAAGAGCGACGTCTCGATGGCCTCCTATGACCGGGGTGATCTTGAAATCATGATACAAGTTTGTGTAACAGACAGTGGGCGTGCAAGAAGGATAGGCTGCTCTCGCGTACAATACTACTGAAGCGCTGGCCACTAGGGAGAGGCATGTAAACATCTGCCGCTTCCTCGTGTTGTGAAACGATCACTTAGCATAGTAATGCGCTTGAATGCTGTGTTCAAGCAGATCAACGCGGCGCTGCGCTGGGCTGGAACAGATGCCAGTTTTGAAAATTAGCTGTGACAAATGTGTCAATAGGGCAAAAAGTGCTGGTATAATCGAGCCGTTTACTGCCTCAAAAACGACAACAAAACGCCGCCACTGACAATAAATATATAAATATCTGTTGTGATGTGTGCGTGTATATGTATAGATTTAATAAATAATGTGCGGGCTTGAATATTATATGCAAATGAACACAAAGATCTCATGGAAAACTTGTATTCCCTTGTTCTGGCTGGGTAAGAGCACCAAGGAAACGTAGCCTACAGACCATGAACATGACTCCCTCTGTAGGCTGTAGGCTATTTTCGTGTTTGATAGACTGTTTCTATGAGAGATGCAGTATATTTTTAAAATCTCCCAAAGCCATTTTTTTTACTTGTAGACATGTGATGTACATGTGCACACTAGCTATTAGAAATGTGCAGTGCCTTAATGAAGTTCATTCAAAACACTATTTTATGAAGATATGCACAATAAGCTACTGTGTCTCATAATTCTGTGGTAAATCAAAATGGACATTTCCTTAGTTCATTATTTAAGTGTGGTTATGTGAACTCCACTGTCGGAGAAACTGGTTTATTAATCTAATTTTTACTCTTAAAATGGAATTGCAGTACAGTGTTATATAAAAGTAAGAAATAAATGAAATGTACATTTTTTTCATTTTTTTTTATTGGGAATTAATTTCTTATTAATTTTGGATGTGGTGAAATATAAAAAAAGAAAAGAAAAGAAAGAAAAGCTAAATAAATAAAAACCAAATGGCTTTATAATTTATGTTATGTGATTATTTTGTGAAAGCAATTTCAATTTCAGTTAATTAAAATTCTATTAGATTAATGTTTGCAATCAACCAATCTCAGCAAACACAAGATTGTGCCTTGGTTTAACCTCATGATTGATGATGAAATATTTATTTATTTTAAATGAAACGAAACTGTGTATGTTATGTGTATGTATTATCCTACTACTGACATAAAGATGTTTTTAGCACAATTATTATTTATTGTTCTACCTCCTCAAAATGGTTTATGCAAAACATTAAAAATAAAAATATTTAAGAATGTTAAAATATTTCAAAATGTTGAACATGCTGTAATTAAAAAGCTTTTAATGGTAGTAAAAATGTATTCTGTAAATTGTCTATATATCTGCATTTAGTACTTTTGTATTTTTGTTTGTATTTGAACTTTCCTAAGTGAATTTATGCAGCTGTTAAACTTGCAACTATGATATCATAAAAGGAATGTTTTAACATAGCAGATGAGAATATTGAGGGCTAATTGGGCTGGTAACTATCTCAATTGAGCATGTGTGTCTTTTCTGATTTGAGAGAGCAAATATTTTCCACAAACATATACTTTTCAATGAATTCCCGTGACTGGTCCCAGCCCAAGCAGGGCACGAGCAGCCTCTCCAGCACCTCAAATATGCCAGAATAATGGTAAGAGAGCATGATATCCTGCTTGAACTGACTGATTTAAACCAAATTAATCATCAGTAAGTGAACCTTAGTCCATAACTTAGTTATCTAACTGTCTGTATTAGTAAGTTATTAAATAAATAATAAATAATTTAGTAATTATTACTTATTTTTCAATCATTCTTCCAAAATGCTGTGTTAAATGTATTTGCATTAATAATTTAAATCAGATTTAAAGATTTTTTGCAAGTTTAAATTAAATGGCATTGTATAATTTGAAAGGACCTGCCATGACAGAAAATTACTTCATGCCACCTCCACCTCCACCCTCACAGGATTACAGAGTAAAGGGGCCACCTACCAGCCACAATTTGGCCCTTCCAAGTTCTGATGCGATTGAGACCCCATTTGGTGTTATCACACCTGAAAGTAATTTCTCAACATGAATATCACACCAATGTAGTTTATCAGCAGGTTAAAAGATACTGGGATGCTTATTATGTTTTTTATACTTAGATTTGATCTGGGATCCACCAAATCTACAGGAGCTTAGTCCACTGAAATTATTAGGTGTTTACAACCTTCCACCAGTCTTTTGGCCAGCTAGCTTAAAGGATAAGGTGAAGAATCTTGGCATTAATGTGGATGAGACAAACCGAGCTGATGACAGCAGCAACATGAAGAATCCATCTTCCTCTGTGCCTCATAATATGTTTGAGGAGCTTCTTGAGAATTTGGATTTCTCAGCACCTTCTCCTCATGCAAATGAGGACATCTTTGAAATACTAGGCCTCTCTGTTGATGCATACAATGAACAGACTGAGACTGATGCTGTCATAGAGCAGGAAGAGGACAAGGACAAGTTCCCGCTCAGTCCTTATGTCATCACTTACCGCAACATGGAAGCTGCAGCCTTTGATTGTGAGGAACTTGTCTTATGTCACAGGCTCAAGAAAGAGAAAGAGGACTATTTTCTCTGACAACTCCTCTTCTGCTGCTGCCGAAAGTTCTGCCATGGTTGATGATTTTGAGCCTCCACATGCTAAGCCTCGACTGGACTCTAGTGAGTATGATGAAGACATTCTCACTACTCTTTGTACTGCTATCTTCTCTGACGAAAAAACTACTTCTTACGATTAAAGCAATGTAGTTGTCACGATCTCTAGCTGGAGTGCCCGTGAGCTTCACTAGAGGGCACTCCATCCCAGACTTCTACCACTCCATCAAAGACTTCATTTCCCATAATCCTTTGCCCGGACTCATCAGCACTCACTGTTTGCACCTGTGTCTCATTTACCCTGTCTGCTCACCCTATATAGTCTGGTTTAGTTTGTCATTCTTGGCGAAGTCTTGTAAGTGCATCTCTGAGCGTTTCTCCTGTTTATATGTATCTTGGTTTTTGGACTCTTAGCCTGTGTTCTCTGCCTTGTCGTTTAGTCGGACTGATTGCCTGTGTGACCCTTGCCTGCTGTCTGATTTAGATTCTGGACTTTCCAAATAAACACTGCATTTGGATCCTCACTCAGTCTTAGAGCAGTTCCGTAACAGCTGTTTATGAATTAAAAGTCTGCAAAGTTTTTTTTGTGTGTGGTCATCTGGGCATTTTGACACTCAAAAATGTCATATATGCCTTGAGCTAGCTGAATTCAAAGTGCTGGAAATCACACTTTCTGGGTGGAAAAAATGTAGTGGTTACCTATCTGAGCTTGGTACATAGAGGCTGCAGGTTAAATCCCTGAAAGGAGTAATCCATAAATTAACATCAATGTTGAACAAGAAAGTAAATGTGAATTGCAATTTTACTTACATAATGTGAGATTTTATATATCATGTGTCATCATATGATATATCATTTTATATATCAGGAAATGATTGGATTGTGAAATCATGTGATCCTAACATGGTCACCACAATGACGGAATGCGCTCCATGTAAAACAAACAGCTTATTCTATCCCAGTGATATGCCTCTAACTTCTTCAATTTGAACAAACTTGCAGCAAAGTTGTTGTTGCCTTTTACAGGCTGACAGACATGTAATTGATACCTGATGCTGATGTATCCATTTTCTCTAGTTGTATGCCGTGTCTGAAAAAGACTAAGATTTACAGTAAGGATTCATTTCCTAATTATATTTTATCAGCCTCAGTAAAAAATGATCTGAGGTTAAAAAGGATATGCCATAAGATTGACGTACATTCCTAGCTTACTGTATTATAAATAAGAAAACATTTAAGCAGTCATAATTTTTTTTTTAAATATTAGATATTTGACCTTTTTATGAAAAGACTTCTTTTGTCAAACAGAGAAACATTTTATTTATATATTTTATTTTATATTTATATATTTCTCTTTTTTAGAAAACATTTTTGAAAATAATGATTGTTACCTGATATTTTTCAGAATTTAACATATCCGATATTTCACCCGTTTAAGAAAAGCATCTTTCAGAACGTCAAACATAGAAACCCCCTCAAAATCCTTAATATTTGTGACCCTGGACCACAAAACCTACATTGTAAGTACCCAAATAGCCAAACCATGTAAAACAAACAGCTTATTCTATCCCAGTGATATGCCTCTAACTTCTTCAATTTGAACAAACTTGCAGCAAAGTTGTTGTTGCCTTTTACAGGCTGACAGACATGTAATTGATACCTGATGCTGATGTATCCATTTTCTCTAGTTGTATGCCGTGTCTGAAAAAGACTAAGATTTACAGTAAGGATTCATTTCCTAATTATATTTTATCAGCCTCAGTAAAAAATGATCTGAGGTTAAAAAGGATATGGCATAAGATTGACGTACATTCCTAGCTTACTGTATTATAAATAAGAAAACATTTAAGCAGTCATAATTTTTTTTTTTATATTAGATATTTGACCTTTTTATGAAAAGACTTCTTTTGTCAAACAGAGAAACATTTTATTTATATATTTTATTTTATATTTATATATTTCTCTTTTTTAGAAAACATTTTTGAAAATAATGATTGTTACCTGATATTTTTCAGAATTTAACATATCCGATATTTGACCCGTTTAAGAAAAGCATCTTTCGGAACGTCAAACATAGAAACCCCCTCAAAATCCTTAATATTTGTGACCCTGGACCACAAAACCTACATTGTAAGTACCCAAATAGCCAAAAATACATTGTATGGGTCAAAATTATCGATTTTTCTTTTATGCCAAAAATCATTAGAATATTAAGTAAAGATCATGTTCCATGAAGATATTTTGTATATTTCCAACCATAAATATATCAAAACTTCATTTTTGATTAGTAATATGCATTGCTAAGAACTTCATTTGGACAGCTTTAAAGGTGATTTTCTCAATATTTAGATTTTTTTGCACCCTCAGATTCCAGATTTTCAAATAGTAGTATCTCGGCCAAATATTGTCCAATCCTAATAAACCATACATCAATGGAAAGCTTATTTATTCAGCATGTATAAATCTCAATTTCGAAAAACTGACACTTTTTCTTTTCTGGATAACTTTTGTGGTCCAGGGTCACATTTGTAAAAATAAACAGAATATATATATATATATATATATTAGAAAACATTTAGAAGATAATG